AGCAGAACACTAGCTAAAAGCTGAAAGAAGCAGAACACTAACTAAAAGCTAAAGGAAGTAGAACTAGCTAAAAGCTAAAGGAAGTAGAACTAACTAAAAGTTAAAGGAAGTAGAACACTAGCTAAAAGTTAAAGGAAGTAGAACACCAAGTAAAAGCTGAAAGAAGCGGAACACTAGCTAAAAGAAGTGCAAGCTAAAAGTTCAGATTAGCTGAACTGTAGCTAAAGAAAAGGTACAATAAAAACTTGAGCTGAAGCAGATTTCAAAACGAGAGGAGAAGTTTTAAAGCGTTGAAGAAGATTGTGTCTGTGAATTTTTGTGAGAATGAAAATAGTTTTCAAAGTGTCGATGTTGCACAAACAGTCACTTCCTGAACCTTCTGCTTTCTTCAAGCTGCTCCACGTAGAAAAACGAGGAGAAATGAAAACCGCTTCTAGTTGAGACTCCGCCCCCGAAGCAGTGAATTCACCGCTGACACGAGAATTGACCGGAGGATCGTTTCGGCCGTCCTCGCCTGTCGTGACTTCACGTGCACTAAATGTGCTGAAGTGACAAAGTCTGGTGTCGGTGGGTTCTGCCAACACGACGCCACTTCTTCCAGTGTTAGAACTTGTCCTGATGCTGCTCGTACACACAAGTCCAGATTTTGACGGGCTCTTTGTGAGGCAGCCAGCGGGTGTTGATGTCCCACGCTGGCAGGTGTCCGCAGCAGCTCTGGGTGTCCTCTCGGTGGACATCTGAAGCTTCTCTGCAGCCTTCCTGCCAAGTCCCAGACTGCCAGTTGGACCGATGCACGACGGCAATTATGTCCTCAACCAAGTGTCCCCATCCCTGTGTTTCAGTTGTTTGATGAGGTCATCAGAGGTCCAGGTGGGACAACTGGGAGACAAAGTTGGAGAGGCCAGACTGACATGGTTTGGACATGTCCAGAGGAGAGACAGTGGTTTGGACATGTCCAGAGAAGGGACAGTGGGTATATTGGTAGAAGGATGTTAGAAATGCAGCTGCAGGAAAAAAACAAAGAGGAGACATGTGGATGCAGTTAGAGAGGACATGGAGGTAGTTGGAGTGAGGACAGAGTGAGGACAGAGATGGAGGAGGACTCGCTGCATGATGGGTGATGAATGTTTGCAGCTGTAATTTGATGGATTTGGTTTTAAATATGTAGAAAAGTTTTATCGTCACGTCTGAAAGGCAAAATGTATTTTCTTGTGTGTCTTATGTCTCGTGAGCTAATAGACACATTTTAACAACATTTACAGAAATTAATTGTCAGATGCTTTTAAAACATTCATACTATTTACATACATTTTCCTTCTCTATGTGTTTTATATGCTGTAATTTTTGTGCTATTTCAATAATTCCTATTAAAATCATTCATATATCAAAGTGTTCAGCTCATTCAGGATATTCCTGATGTGACTTTTGGTATTTGTACAATTTAAACGTTTTGAAATATTTAGCCTTTTCGGCCATGTTTTCTCACTGAAAATGAACAGAGCTCTTTGAAGCTGTTTTAAAATGTTTTTCAGCTCCTTTCTGCTTTTTCAGCTTATTTGTGCTAATTTATATTTCCTTCAGCTCCTTTCACCTTTGTTCTGCTCATTTCAGCTTTTTTCGGCTAATTTCAGCTTCGGCTAAAATGCAGTTTTTTCTGCTATTTCAGCTCCTTTTTTTTTTATATTTTTATGCCGATTCTTCCTTTTCATCTTTTTTCATGTTACATTTATGATTCTTTCTAAAAATGTAAACTTTTGATGCTTCTTCCTGCTGTTTCATTTTGGCTCTTTTAGCTTCTTTGCTGATTTCATCATTTTCCCGCTCAGTTAATTTTTTGCTAACTTCTCTGCTTATTTTAGCTTCGGCTTATTTCTTCAACTTTTCTGCCGTTTGTTTTTTGTTGCGTTGCTTTTTATTTTCCTGCTCTTCTGTCAACTGCTCAATTTCAAATTACAATAACTGTTCAGCAATGACACATTTTCAGCCTGGTTTCAACTTCTTCAGCAGCTTTTAGCAAAAATCTTTTGGCAATATCACAATATCACTGCAATATCACAGGAAAACCAATGTCTCCAGTTAATCATTAAATCACCTAAGGAGTTATCCCAACTTAAGATGGCTGCCACACTCCCACCTGCTACCCACTGAGATTTTTTCTTAAAACTTAAGCAATTACCGTAAGTTCCAGACTAGTAAGCGCACCATAAGCTGTGCCCACTAATAAAAATATATTATCATTTTGTACAGATATGGGCTGCACTTGTCTTTAAGACGCAGGTGTCCATGTTGTAACATGAGATATTTACACAGAAAGACTTTTATAAACTTTTAATTAAATTCGTACCGGTAACATACACAGATACGTACAGTAAATGTTTTTTTCTGAACAGTGCCGGTAACACGGCTGGTTAAAAGAACAATTAATTCAGTCGATGGTGGTTATCTTCATCTTCTTCCTGCACAAGCTAGTGCTGCCCTCCATCACCCAGCTGCCTTTTGAAACAGGGAGGCCTCCCCCTGGGTGCACAGCAGGGAGGGGAGGAGAGAACCTCGTTAATTTCATTGGTTAGATTTTATTTAATTTTATTTATCCTTTTATTTTTACAGGTACTGTTCTGTTGATTTACAGATCAGTTAAAATAAACTTACCATGCACTGTATTGCTCCCTGCTTCATCTGTGCTGAAAGTGAAACTTAAGTGAACTGTCATGACTTGAAAGTTGTCTTCATGCGCCCTCTGCTGGATACTTTGTACAATTACAGCTGGTTCCAGCATTTTAGGGGTGAAAATTAGAAGTGCACATAACGGGACAATTATCACAGAAACCAATAGCTCCCCAAGCGTCTATCATCGGCCTAAATTATCGACCCTGCTAATATATCGGTTGGGATCTAGTTTACAGTAATTGATTTAATAAACATACGAGTAAAGTTCATCTGAAAGACTTCATCAGTCCGAGGAGCCACTTCAAACTCAATCTTATAAATAGCACCTTCTCATAGTGGATCAACCAGTCTGCTGGTGATGAGATGGTTTCTGGAGCCTGCCCTCTCCCCCACTGACTCGTCTGAGGCAACCATGGCCAAAGTGGTTTAAAACATCAAAGTTCATGCTCAGTAATCCAGGCCATGGCTGCCTCAGACGAGTCCATGGGGGAGAGGGCGGACTCCAGAAACCATCTCATCACAATCAAACTGGTTAACCCACTATGAGAAGGTGCTGTTTATAAGACTGAGTCTTACAAATAGCAATAGTCTTAAAAGGTCTTATAAGGCTTCGCGGACTGATGAAGTCCTTTGGATGAAAGACAAAACGTTTCAACAAGAAGAAACCGTCCAGAGGACCTGACTGAACTCGTTGGATTATTCTATCTGGATTACAGAGCATGAACTTTGATACTTCCTCTATTCTTCTACGCAGTATAACTCCTACCTACTTGAATATCTTGCACCAACATCCTTAAGGTTTACTTTCATTCCCAGTTCAATTCCAGTTCAGAAAAACACTCCTTGAAAACTACAAACATTCGCTATTGAAATCCCTCAGCAACGGGGAACATATATCTCGTTTTGTTAGAGGTTTCTGTTGGTTGTGCTCTTTACTGTGTATGGTTGTTTGTTCTCATTTTCATCTAGAGTTAGATTAATAATGTTGAAAATGTTATTTTTCCTTGGACTGCCCGCGTCATAGTCCTTTCTGGCTGAGGACTTGTTGGTTCTGCTCTTTCTCCTTTGAGTTTCTGTTTGTGGGCTTTGGCCTGGTTTGGATCGGCCCAACAGTCTCACTCTTTTGGGGCTCAGGAACATGCTTTGGTTGGCTTGCACGAAATTTGACTGCACTATGACATCACTGCTGCCGGAGCTTGCTGTTTGGCTGATGCCAAGAGTGGGGGATGGAGAGCCCGGCGGTTGGATGCAGGGTGAGGCGGCGCGAGGGCTCATGGGAGACGTAGAGCCTGACGCTGCTGAGCGCCCACAGGCCTCCTCCTCTTCCTCTGTTGCTCTCGTTTAGAGTTCCTTTCTGCTCTGCCAGGCTTCAGCAGCTCAACACTCAAACTGCACCTGATTAAAATGATACAAGTGTTGGACTGAGACTCGTTTACAATTGTAGTTAATCATAAATGGCTCTGATCAAATCAAGGATAGGAAAATTCTTGATCTTTATTTTTGTTTTGCAGCATTTTTACTAATTCCCTGTGGTGGACTGGAGACATGTCCAGGTGTCCCTGTGGTGGACT